CACCCAGCTCTGCACCTTGTTGTCTCTTTGCTAAATACTGTTGTTTGTGTGCAACTCTACAGCGAGTTTGAACAACAACACAAACTGGGGTTCAAATTCAGTTCGAATGTTGCCTTAACTGCTTTGCAGGCTTGTTTCGCTCTATGATTCAATGTATTCCCGATGGGCTGAACAATAATTTATAATTTCACCGCTAAGCAAAGTGATAATTCCACCCAAGGAGAAATAAAAATAATAATAAATGCAGTTGACAGATAGTAAAACACTCCAGAATTAATTGAGAGGCCTTGTTAGAAAGTAGACTGCCAGGTAATACTTCACCTATGATAGGTTGTAGGCCTTTTCCCACTCATGCAGAAGAGGAGCATCAGTCACCTGCATCTGCAGTGCTCACGAATCATGAGCCATTCATGCAGTAAAGGTCACACCAAAACGGCACCACTACCATCTCAGGCATCCTGTACCAACACTCAGAAACAGAATTCAGTGGCATTTTATTAAACCTGACTGATTAGTTGAGGGATTTTTCAGCATTTGTCTTTCAACTTTCAGCTGATAAGGAGTAAAACAAATGTGTTTTCCCTCTCTCTGCAAAGTTTCACCAGTCCCCTTTCTGCGTAACAGCAGCTCATAATTTACTCCGTAAGTATCAGAAACCCTCTGGTACCTCACCCAAAGGTTTGTCATTCAGTTTTGAGACTAGCGGGCGAATATTAGAAGATTGCCTGCCCAGGGAAGACAATATATCCAAGTCAACAACAAAATGAATTACATTCTATACTTATTGTTGTTTGCGAACCAAATGCCAGCACTTAACATTTACACTGCATGTTAATAGTTACAGTATTGTTCGGCATAATTTATAAGCACTATATTGTAACACTACTAAAACTGTAATACAGGGTTTGAAAATTGTCCATGCTCATCTTATTTTGTTCAAAATAGTTTTATAGTAAAATTTCTGAAAAGCCTTGAGCACCAGATTCACTACTTTGATGTATACTCCCTTTTAAATGCCGAAAAAGTTCACAATAATGTTACAATCCAAATTTCAGAAACAAAAAACATTTGTTAATAGGTTCGTTGAAAGCTCAGTGTTTTCATTCAGTAAGTTAATCATACAGCAAGATACACAAAGCCAATTCCCTAAACTGTGTTCCTTTGTGTCAATTTAGTTCAATTTTGAAACATGCTTGCTTCTGGCAGAGAACGATAAGCAATTTTCCCTCTTACATATAACTGGCTACCATATTTGCGAACATCACAAAAGTGACTAGATTTCACTGAAAAATTAAGTGTCTGTGAACAGCCATGAGGCATTCCAAAGATATAATAAGGTGCTACATGCTTACATTTTTATTATTCACATTGACTGTTGCATTAAAAAACATCTCCTTTACTCTTGCCAAGCTCCTATTTCCCTCGGTTTCTGACCCATTGGTTTCTTTAATTGGCCATTGCTCTATCCATCTATGTGTGATTTTTTTTCCCCAATCGCTGCATCCAAAAACCAGTTCTTTGCCTTCTACTCTGTCCCTCTGCTCTCTCTTCATCCCTTTCTCCTTCTCTCCCAGCACACCCATTTGCTTTCAATCCCATAATCTCAACTGAAAGCAGGCAGGCTACAGAAAATGACATTCGTGCTGGGGTTGAAGCATGGTTAACTTTATGGTCAAATCCACTTTCATCTCCACAACTGATTTCTGGCATAAAACACTGCATTTGTGACATTTGTTAGATTGTTTACATTTTTTTAAAGAAATGGTTTCCTTTTCAGATTTGTTCCTGGAACTTTCTCGTAAATGGTCACAGCAGACAAAACGTTAACTCTGTTTTCCTTTCTACAGATCTAGCCAGACCAGTTGCATTTCTCCAGCACTTTCTGATTCTATACATAGTCACATTATGCTGTAATGATGCTGATATCATATATAATTTCATTGAAGTCCACTAAAGCAGGTGCTTATATTGCTGGAATACTTCTGATATGGGACATGTCGGACCTTACAAAAACAACAGGCAATTTGTACAGCATGCAATTGATCATGTGATAACCTATTCAGATTGCTCTACAGGTAGGTTTATGTCGGATCCATCAGAGGCTAAATGTTTTCTTCCTGGCCTGAGGGATAGCTTCTTGCAGCTGTTTCAGATGGCAGACCTTTACAGCAGCAAGGATTTTCTGGTTGCTCACCTCATCATCACTGAAGGCAGGCACATTCAACATGCAGCAGGGTCGGCATATGACTGAATGTGAAGACAGCTGAAATTCCAACTGAACCAAACGTGATGGCAAAGCTGACCCTTTTGGAATTTACATTTCATCTCGAGAAGATCACAGCAATCTTACAGAAAATCACTGGGCAGGGTGATACCTAAAGCTGCAAACTGGAGTTAATTATCATCACAAAATAAAGCAAATAGGAACAGCTGTTTGTGTGTGAACATGTCCTGTATAATATTACAAAGAACGCTCAGAATTTAGCATGAATAGCTTATCAACTGATTGCAGGTCAATGGCACTGCTTTTACAACTTTTAAAGAATGAAAATCATTCATCTATATGGTTAACCTTTTTCTGTCTTTCTTCCATGTAAAATACGTTTGCTTCTGCTGATTTGAGATGACCATCGAAAGGTAGCACTTCAAATTATCTGAGAATAATCAGAACTGACATCTCACCACGCACGGCAAATTGCATGAGTCCACATTTAGACCCATCAGAGTTTGCTATTAGCCTTTCAATACGTGCTCTGAACAGAAGTATATATAGCACAGGGAAACTTACCAAGGACAACAAGTTTCGCTTCAGCTGTAACCATGTCCAAGGAGGTTCTTGCCACACAAGTGTATGTCCCTTCATCATCTTCGCTTACGTCATTAATTTGAAGGATATCGCCATCCATTATTATTCTAAAGGATTGTAAAATTACAGATGGTACAGCAACTTAGTTAAAGTTAATTTCATTTTCATGATTTCTTATATTAAAAAGCACCTATCAACAACTGCAGTCGCTCTAATGTTCTTTACCAAAGAGAGCTTGCCGTACCCTACCTGGTGTGGTCTCCATGTGAATCCAGCTCCACAGAACTGTGATCTTAAATGCCTTCTGAAATAGCCGGCCAAGCCAATCAATTGTATTAAACCACAAAAAAAATGGCAAAGAGCAATAAAACTGGGTGAATCAAGCTGGGCACTGGAAACGGCAACAGCACAATCATTCCTGTTGAGCCTGCAAAATCCTCCTTATCTACATTTGTGGGCTTGTGCCAAAATTGGAAGAGACGTGCCACAGTCTAGTGAAGTAACAACATGACACAGTCATTCGCATGTCATCAAAACTGATTGGCAATGTTGCAGTCATCACCATCAGCATCTAGCACAGTGGTATACAATTTGGAAGGAGTTGCCCTGGGAATACTCAATACTGAATCTAAACCACACAAACGTCTCACAGCATAACAAGGAAGCCTCCGACTGATCAGCACCTGTTGGCACCTTAAAGTCATAGAGTTGTACAACACAGACACAGACCCTTCAGTCCAATTCTTAGCTCATGAGCTAGTACACCATGTTGAACACCAATTGCAAGAAGCGCCGAGGATAAAAAGGGTAAAAGATATAATCTGGGTGGAAGGCTTGAATATCCATCAGCAAGAATGGCTGAGTAGTACCACAGCTCAACGAGCTGGCCATATGCAAAAGGATGCGGTTGCCAGACGGGGTTTGTGACAGGTGTGAAGAAATTACCAAGGGGCACAACAACAATCTTTCCCTTATCTTCATCAATCTGTTGGAGAGGCACATAGTCCTTGTGGAGACAATGTCCCTTCTCTAGCGTGATGACACCTTCCATCATATTGCAGTGCACCACCATCAATTCAATGGGATCAATTTCAAAGAGATCTTTCAACTCAAAATTAGCCATCCATGAGGCACTGTTGGCTATCAGGAGCACCATAATAATATTCAACCACAATTTGTAACCTCATGACCTACTCAATTCCCACTCCACAATTACCAGGGGAATCAACTCTGGTTCAATGAATACCACTAGACAGCATGCCAGAAACTGCACCTAACATACATAAACCGGGATTATTTGCATGGCACCGTGAAAGCATGCAATAGACCAAGCTAAGCAATTCCACAACTAACAAATCAGATCCAAACTCTACCACCCAAACACATCCAGTCATTTATGGTGAAGGAAAATTAAACAACTCACAGGAGCTGGAGACTCCAAAAATATCCTCATTCTCAATCATGAGAGAGTCCAGCACATCTGCACTAAAGGCAAAGCTGAACGATTTGCAAACATCTTCAGCTTGAAATGTCAAGTGGAGCCCCACCTCAGCCTCCTCCAGATGTCCCCAGCACCACGGGTCCCAATTCAATTCACACCATGTGATGTCAAAAAATTGTTGAAGGCATTGTGCATTGCAAAGATTTTCGGCTGTGAAAAAAGTCAAAGTCAATTAAAGACTTGCGCTCCCGAATTGCCTGTGATCTTTTACCCAGGCTGTTCTAGTACAGCTGTAACACTGGCATCTACTTGCAATGCAAAAAAATGCCCAGGTATGTCCTCTATGCAAAACACAGGACTAATTCAACCCGGCCAGTTTGCTCTCGATCATCAGTAAAGTGATAGAATTGGCTGTTGAAGGTGCTATCAAGCAGTGCACATTCAGAAATCCCTGCTTGTTGAGAGTTCAGTTTGGGTTTCACCAAGGCATTTAGTTCCTGACTTCAGCACAGTTTTAGTACAAACACACACAAAAGAGCTGAACTCAAGAGATGAGGTGAGCTTGAATGAATCACAACTAACATAAAGAAAGATGGTTGTTGTTGCAGGTCAATAATCTCAGCTCCACAGCATCAGTGAATGAATTTCTCAGGGTATTGTCCGAGGGCCAAACATTTTCAACTCCATCAATGAGGTGAGGGTGATTCACAAAGGAGAACGACATTGTAGGTGGAGATTTCAGTTGGGATGGTGAGGTTCCAGAATACGCTAAAACTATAAAGAGAAGTTATTAGATGTTTTAGTGGGCATCAATGTGCATAAATCCCCAGGGGCTGATGATATATGTATCCCAGGCTGCTATGGAGGAGATTGCTGGGACCCTGGTTGACATATTTAATATTTTGCTGGCTACAGGTGAAGTGTTAGATAGCTAATGTGGTTCCTTTGTTCAAGAAGGACAGCAGGAATAGGCCAGGTAATGACAGACCAGTTAGTTTGATGTCAGTGGTCAGAAGCCAATTAGAAAACAATTCTAGAAGACAGGATTAATCAAAAATTGAAAAGACAGAAATTGATCAGAGATAGTCAGTTCAGATGTGTTAGAGGGAGATCCTGTCTGACTAATTTGATTGGGTATTTTGATAAATTGACTAAATATTATTGATGACTGTAGTGCAGTTTACATAGACTTCAATACCTTGTCAGGTCCCACATAGAAAGCTGGTCCAAAAGATAAGAGCCCATGAGATCCAAAGCAAATTACCAAACTGGATTCAAAATTTGCTGGTGAATAAGAAGCAAAAGGCAATGTTCGATGTTGTTTTTGTGATTGAAAATCTGTGATCAGCAGTGTACCACATGGATTTGTGCTGAGACCCTTGCCGTTGGACATGTACATTAAAGTCTTTGATGTGAGTATAGAAGATATAATTAGTGGGTAAGTTTACTGATGATACAAAACATTTGTGATGGTGTTGGTAGTCAAGAGGATGGCCTCAGGCTACAGTCTGATATTCATCAGCTGGTAAATTGGGCAGAGCAGGGGCAGATGGAATTTAATCCTAAGTGCAAGGTGATATACTGAGAATAAAGGGACCTTGGTGTACAAGTCCACAGATCTCTGAAGGTGTGTCACACAGGTATACAGGGTGGTGAAAAAGGCATATGGGATGTTTGCCTCTATTGGTCAGCGCATACATTCTAGGAACAAGGTGCCATGGTGGCTCAGTGGTTAGCACTGCTGCCTCACAGCACCAGGGACCTGGGTTCAATTCCACCTTCAGGTGACTGTCTGTGTGGAGTTTGCACATTCTCCCCGTGCCTGCGTAGGTTTCCTCCCACAGTCCAAAGACATGGAGGCTAGGTGGATTGGCTATGCTAAATTGTCCACAGTGCCCAGGGATGTGTTGGTTAGATAGGGGAATGGGTCTGGGCGGGATGCTCTTCAGAGGGGCAGTGTGGACTTTTTGGGCCAAATGGCCTGTTTCCACACTATAGGCATTCTATGAAGAAAATCTTGTTCCAATTTTATAAAACATTGGTTAGACAACAGATGGAATGATATGTGGAGTTCTGGCTGCTACACTATCAGAAGGATGTGACTTCACTGGAGAAGGTGCAATGGAGATTCACCAGGATGTTGCCTGGGATGAAAACTCTCAGTTATGAGGAGAGATTGGATAGACTGGGTTTATTTTCCATGGAACAGAGGAAACTGAGGGGGGTGGGAAATCTGGTTGAGATATACAAAGTTATGCGAGGCATAGACAGAGTAGATCCTGAGAATCTCTTCCCCATGCCAGATGTGTTTAAGGGCATAAGTTTAATGTGAGGAGCAAGTGGTTTAGAGGAGATCGGAAGAACAAACCTTTCATCGCGAGGGTGGTAGATATATGGAACATGCTGCTTCAGATAGTGGAAGAGGCAAGTATTCTCACAACATTCAAGAAGCATCTGGAGGAATACTTATAATGCCAGGGTATTGTCGGCAATCAACCAAGCACATATAAATAGGATTAGTGTAAATTGGTATTTGTTGATTGGCATAGACTTGGGCCAAAGGGCCTGTTTCTGTCCTCTGAGACTCTAATGGCCTTCCCTCCATCATAATGTCAGAAGTGGGGGGTCTTTACTGATGATTGCAAAATGGTCAGCACCATTTGTGACTCCTCAGACACTAAAGCAGTCAAGGTCTATAATGCAGTGAGGCCAAGACAATATCCAGGCTTGAGCTAAAAGCGGCAAGTAATATTCACACCATTCAAGAGGCAGGCAAGAACTATTTCCAACAAGAAGGAATCATTTGTTCAGTTATGAGGAGAAATTATTCAAATTAGGCCTTTTTTTTCTAGAATATGGAAGGTTAAGGGATGACTTGGTTGAAGTCTTCAAAGTATTAACAGGGGAAAAATAAACAGGATAAAGATAAACTTTTTCCACTGGCTGGAGATTCAAAAACTAGGGAACATTTTCCAAGAATTAGGGCCAGGCCATTTAGGAGAGACATTAGGAAGCATTTCTACATACAAAGGGTGATAGAGGTCTGGAACTTTCTTCCACAAACAGCAGTTGATGCCAGATCAGTTATTAATTTTAAATATGAGGTGGATATACTAATGTTAAACAAATATATTGAAAGATACGGGCCAAAGGCAGATATGTGTAACTAGGTCTCAGATCAGCCATGATCTCACTGAATGGCAGAGCAGGCTGAAGGGGTTGAACAGCCATTCACTTAACTATTACACTGTGACATTCGATGGCATTACCATCACTGAATACACGTTTATGAACAGCCGGGAGTTATCATTGACCAGGAACTGAATGTGAGTAACCATATAAACACTGTGGCTACAAGGGCAGATCAGAGGCTGAGAACTTGTGGAACGGAACTTCCCTTCGGACTCCCCAAATTCTCTCCACCATCAATAAAGTACAAGTCAGGAGTGTGATGTTACTTTGCAGTTGACTGGATAACTGAGCTTCAGAAACATAAGAATTTCAATAATATCATCTTGATTGGCACTCCATCTGCCACCTTAAACAATCATTCTTTCACCACCAACATACAGTGACAGCATTGTGTGCCAGCTACAGCTGCACTGTGCCAATTCACCAAGGCTGCTTTGACAGCACCCATCAAACCTGCAACCTATAACATCTGGAAGGACAAGGGCATCGGCATATCAGCACATCCAAGTCACACATCATTCTGGTTTGAAACTATCTCAGCCAGTCTTCCACTGTTGCTGGGTCAAAATCTTGAAAGTCCTTCCCAATAACACTTGGGTGTCCCTGCAGCAGTTCAAGAAAGCAGCTCACCTCCACCTTCTTAATGGAGCTGGCAATAGATAATAAATGCTAGCCTAGCCATTTACACTGAAACCCAATTTGAAAACCTCTCTTACTAATGGAAGTCCCCACAGATAACCACTTTAATAACATAATTTGCAAGAAAATGTAATTATGATGCAGTGGTGCAAATTGCCCATCCCGGTATATGGAATAAAACAAAGCCTTCTGTTGATTCCCTTCTTTCCTGAGTTCCAGAACGGAGTCCTGTCACTTTGACAAAATGTAATCTGGAACTGCAAAAGAGTCACCACAAATTTACAATCATGTCAACACCTGCAGGTCTCCACTGTTGGTTAGGCAAACCAGACAAAAAAGGGGTAAAATAATCTTTAAATACCAATAAATGCACCTTCTTGATGACAAATACAGTCAAAATTGAAGTAGTAGCATGCCAAATTTTAAAGTTAATTTTCAAGATTTAGTTCACAAGATGCATAAACCTAGAGTTTGTTTTTAGCAAAGCATGCTTTCCAATTTATGATTTCTTTCACTAAAGTTCAGAGACAGACAATAATATATTTCCTGCAGAAGAAGAAAAAATATGCACATTTGTGCAAGACATAAAAACGTAGCAAACATTTCAAAGGTCCTTAGCGCATGCTCTGAATATAGATCAAGAAGCGAAATGTAATCAACTTGCTCAAGTCTGGAAGACAGTCAACTTAAGAATGGGTGCCTACGATTTTGATACATTTTATTCAATATGATGTTGGTGGTGATGGATTGGCACTAGCAATAATGATAACTGAAGTGAAGTGCTTCTTGTCCATTTTGCAAACTATTACCTGTCATTCTCGGTTTGGTCACTGTAAATTTCATATCCATCCTGTTTCCATGATAACTCAAAGTCACTTTCGAAAGCAGAGTCATATGCAGCATGACATTTGAACTGTGCCACTTCAGACTTTGGTATCATCAAATCCTCAGGTGGAAGCACTATTTCTGTCGCAACTGAAAGAGAGACAGAGGACCAAAATGCTGTCAGCACAATTTCTTCAATGTTAATAAATACATAAAAGGAATGAGAATAATTTCAGATGTACAAATATTACAAACGACAGCATCTGACATTTCGATTGTAATGCAGCAATAATTAAAACCATCAATCGCTTTGTGAAATGTCTGCCTGAAGAAACAACTCTCTAAATCTGAGTTAACTGTTCACTTTACTGTTTCTGATTCATTGGACCTCGATTTTTCAAAGTTAAGACACACTGCACAATATAAAATAGAATTGTTTCAGAAATGAAAATGAATTGCATTGAAAGAAGCAAGTCATGAAATAAAAGAGAAAATAAAATATTGAAAATGCATTGCGGCGCAAATAGCACTGGGGAAAAAATGCCATGGGGTGGATTTTCCAAGGAGTGGCACTCTCACGTCATTTCTACACCACCCTTCTTTTTTACTGAAAGAATAGAGCTCTGTATTTCTGACAGAAGATTTCAGTCAGGACTCCCTCACAAAATATGAAGGTGTTAATTCCATTCTTACACTTCTTTTGCAATGCAGAAATGTCAGAGGAAGACAAACCATGCCCCCTTTTCATTGCAGTGAGATGCTGTATTCTGAAATATAAAAGCCCTGATGGCCACGTTAATGGCTGCTGTCAAAACATAAGTGCGTAAACGAAGTGAGAGATTAGACTGCTAAGGAGGTAGGTTGCAGGATGGATCCGAGATAGGGTGCCAGGTAAGTGGTGTGGTAGCTGGGTAGGATGCCAGGTGGGTAGCGGGTATTACAACAGGTAAGGACGGGGGCCAGGTCCAGCAGTGGTGGGTGGATGGGGGTAAGGGGTCGTTGGGGTTGGGGTTTGGGTCAGATGCCAGCTGTCGGAGAAGGATGTGTGGGGAATTGGGAGTCATATTCTGCAACGGTGGTGAGTGGAGGGTATGGAGCCTGATGGTTGTGTTAGGTCCTACGGGGGGAGGTGAATACAGGAAGAGCGAGAGAGGTATCAGGTCCCAGGGGAATGTCAGGTCAGCGTCTGCAGAGTACAAGAAGCCCGAGGAGGTGTACTCGGAAGTTTGTGAGCTAAGTATGACCTCTGTTAAATAGTCCCTCATGTATTCAATCAGACAACTTTTCCTCAGTAATTATTTTTAGTAATTTCACTGGAATTGTCCAGAGTCTTCAATTTAAAACAGAGACTCTCAGAAAGTTGTAAGTATGAACAATTGCCTAGCAGAAAGTTCAATTTCTTGGGCAATTCATTCAGAATTGTTACAACGGAGATTCCGTAGGTTCTCCATGTGCAACTCCCTCATGCACAGGGAAAAATAACTGGCCACTGGAAAATCCTGGCCAGTGTGCTTTCTGATACAGAAGGTCAACCTGCAAGAATTGCTGCTGCTACCATAGATCGGCAATGGTTCTGAAATTGTTCAGTGGGTAAGACATCAAGTCAAACAGTTAACCAAAACAGAAAAATGAAAGTGAAATATGCCACAGTTCAAGAACGTTATGTTTAGCTGTGATTTTTGGTTGCCAATTTCAGCTTGATCAATGTGTTATGTTTTATAAAACAGAATAATGTTCCATTCCATAATAAACGTATAGTGATTTTGATTGGTACATCATAGCATTCTGATTCAGTATTTAGTTTTGAATTTTTTAAGATACAGAAGATTAATCATAAGATTTAATATTGAAGAATGAGATGTGATTCCCGGAATAGAAATTTATCAGCTGTCAAAATGCACTAGATATTAATTGGTTTAGTACAGTTGATTGGTCAATAGTCTATTGTTGATCAAATGGTACTGAAATGGCAAAACAATGCCATTCAAAGGTTTGAATCAGATTTCTAATGATACACAATATTCCAATGTTTGTATTTCTTGTTGTTAAATCATATCATTATCATCTTGTGCATTAGGTGTGATTTTCTCCAAGGTGCGCTGGGGGAGTGGTGATATAAATGATACGTTTGGAAATGAACTTAGCAGACAAAAAGAACAAAATTGAAAGTTTCAACTTTCAAATGTGAATTCCATCATAACTTTCAAATACAATCTCTTTTGTTTTACTTCAATTACTGGAGCAACTGATGAGAAAAAAAAGGTTTTGTTGGACTTAAAACGCTAAAGCACAAAGTCTAGTACAAGCTATGGGTTCGAGTTTATCAACAGCTGAGACACTATTTACTGCAATATGCGAGTGAACTTTTAGAAGCACAAGCCCATTTGGCAACCTTCCATTTCAGAAGTGAATGGCCTACACCATGGTGGTCAATTATGCATCAAGCAACACCCATTGGTTCAGGAACCCATCTCTGAGATTGCAGTATCTGCACATTTGCTGCAGAATTTGACAGTGGATTGAGAAGGTGGTCTATTTGTTGGCCCCTGTTTTCTCTTGATCCTTTTCTCAATCAGCTAAACTGTTCGTTTCTGCTCATCACTTCCAAAACCCTTCTCAATATTATGCACCAGTGGTCACGTTCATCAGTGTCTATCTCCCAGTTGTCAGTGTCAATATCCACCACCGTCATAGCATGCTTACAGATGTCCTGACACAGAGGCTTGGATACTCATGGTAAGTTTGCCATTTAGGAAGTTTTTGGGGAGACGGCCATCATCCCTCTAATGCATGCCTAGAATGAGTGTATGTTGATGGATTTAATGTATTCTGCGACCTCTCAGCTGGTGATCTTCTCCTGCCAAGAGATGCCAAGGATACATGTCAGACTGTAAAGGTGAAAACTGTTCAAACTTTTCTCCTGTCTAGCATATCTTGCTCAGATATCACTGCTCCAGCAGCGTACACTGAAGACGCAGGTTTGGGAAATCTAGTCTGTTGTTCTCAGTTGCGTTGCTGTTTTTCCACATTCTTTTGTATTCAATGTGAACAAAACAGTTGCAGCTTTAGTGATGTGTGTGTTGATTTCAGCACCAAGTGACAAATTGCTGGTGACTGGGGAGTTAGATATGTGAAGCTATCAACAACCTCCAGTGACACCTTTTCAATGCTGATAGATGATAGTCCGACAACACTCTGGACCATGACATTTGTCTTCCTGATGCTGGTGGTCAAACAATGTGGTGTGAGAGACCATCCATTTGCCTCTGCATGTCTTCTTCAACATGGAATATTAGTGCAGCAACTTTCTGACAAAGACCTGGAAAACCTTTGTCTTGGATTTTTGGATGAGCAAGGCTGTAAATGTTCTGCAAGTTTGGTGAATTCGTTGTCACCGTCTGTGAATGACTTCAAGGCATATGATGATGGTAATGAGAAAAATATAACAAAGAGTGTCAGTGCCAGAATGCAACCCTGTTTGATCCAACTAAGGGCCTCAATACCCTCATCAGAGCTGACTTTACCCATGTTGCCACTTAAAGAGATCAAAACGAGCCTCTTCAGGGTAATAAAAGCAAAATCTTGCAGATGCTAGAGATATGAAACAACCACAGAAAATGCTGGAGAAACTCAGCAGGTCTGGCAGCATCAATGGAGAGAGAAACAGTTCCCAAAGAAGAGTCATTTACCTTGAAACATAAATTCTCCTTCTCTCTCAACAGATGATGCTGGGCTTGCTGAGTTTCTCAAACCTTGTCAAGAGAGCAGCTGGTTTTTTCCAGCAGTTTAAACAGACTGCTTTGGCTCACAATGGTGTTTGAATGTTAGCTGCCCTCTGAAAAAGCCTGGCAAACTCTTCAGTTTAAGGACAACTAGACATCTGCAATACCTGCCAGCAATGCCCACATCCCGTGAAAATATATGGAACATGTTGAATCCCTGAGTAGAAAGTTCAGTTCAGCTGTTCGGTTGCCCTGGCTAAAAGAAAAAGTGTTTTTCTTTTCAATGGTCTGGGCACATCATCTTAGGAAGGATATGTTGACCTTGGGAGTAGAGAGTTAATTTGCCAAAATGACACCAAGATTCCAAGGGTTACATTATAAGGAGAGATTGCACAAAGCTGAAGATGATAAAAGGTGATTTGATCAAAGTTTTCAAGATAGTAAGGGTCTGTGCAGACTTGTGTCAATTTTGCCAGGTGCAGTCAGTGTCACCGTTCAGTCTGTGTGATACCACATGGTATACTTTATTGATATCACTGAACAATGTCAAATCAGCTCCTCAGATAAGCCACCCACCTGCTACCTGAAGCAGTATTAGATGACAGTTGATGACTAAGCAGCATTGTTACAAAACAAAGCCAAACTTTTCAGATATGAAAGCAGAAGCATTCCAAGACAGAAAGAATGGTAGAGGTTTGGAACTTACTTCTACAAATGACAACCGATGCTTTATAATTATTAACATAAACAGACGTTGCTGGAGAAACTCAGCAGGTCTCGCAGCATCTGTGGAGAAAAAGCAGAGTTAACGTTTCGGGTCCAGTGATCTTCAGAAAGAAGTGTCACTGGATCCGAAATATTAACTCTGATTTCCCTCCACAGATGCTGCCAGACCTGCTGAGTTTCTCTAACAATTGCTGATTTTGTTTCTGATTTCCAGCACCTGAATTCTTTGTTTTTTTTTGCCTAATGATTTTAAATTTTAAATTGGAAATCAGTGTTAGCTACAGAACGGAATTTTGGAATAAAAACATAAAAATATGGAAACACTTCCCAATTCAGGGAGCATCTGTGAAAAGAAAAAATAAGGGATATGGAATACATGGAACGTAAAGTACATTGGCTTTAGATCACAGAGCAGCTTTAATTTCGTTAAATGTGTGGAAAGACTCAAATAGCTAAACGGCTAGCTCATGTTACTGTGCTCCTGTCTAAGCCATATTAATTTGAGTTACTTGACTTTAAAATAAAGAATTTCTGTGGGTTTCTGAATACCCCTCCCACCTATACAACTGCTCTTACATTTACCTTAAATATACTAAGGACTAGTGCTACAGAAATACCCATAATGAAGCAATCTGGAAATGGATCCCTTCCTTTAATTGTGCTAGAATAGGCAGATTCCAATGGCGAGTGAAACAACCTCAG